CAGAATTTGGAACTTAAAGAAATAAAGAGATATGGGGTGTGTTTTTGTAACGACCTGGGTCCCACTTAACGGGCTGTCCCGGCCGTTAGATCGACGACGTACTGTCCCCACTGTACCAACATGAGTCCTTTCAGCATGCTTTGTCCTCAATCGCACGCTCCCCGAGAAAATTTCACAGGGGGTCACCCATCATAGAATTGCTCCAAGCCAAGCACGCTTAACTATGCAGTTTCTAACGATGGACTTTCGGAAAAGAAGGTGTACCTTGTTGATATGAGTAGTACCTATCAAATCTTTTTAAGCTTTCCTGGTTTGGGTATTACAATCACCACCCGTTAGACTCGCGATGTTCTTGTCGCGCTTGAGTCATCTGAAGATCCGTTGCCAGGCGTTGGGATTCTAGAGGTGGCTTCTATGGGTTCAAGAGGTGGCTCCCGCCCTATGGCGTAGCACTTTGTCCCGGATAGCACTTAGTTCTTGATTTCCGACTGGCAATCGGGCTCTGATACCATTTGTAACGACCTGGGTCCCACTTAACGGGCTGTCCGGCCGTTAAATCGACGACGTACTGTTCCCACTGTACCAACATGAGTCTTTTCAGTATGCTTTGTCCTCAATCGCACGCTCCCCGATAAAACTTCCCAGGGGGTTACCCATCATAGAATTGCTCCAAGCCAAACACGCTTAATTGAGGGGTTTCTAACGATAGACTTCCGGAAAAGAAGGTGCACCTTGTTGGTATGAGTAGTACCTATCAAATCTTTTTAAGCTTTCATGGTCTGTGTATTACAGTTTGAGCCACGTTATTTTGAAAGAATATATTTTGGAATAGTAGATCGATGGAAAATGTGTGGTTGAAAAAAAGGGAAAAGTTATTGATGTGATGTAAAATATTATTTTATTGAAGAATGTGTGGTTGAAAATGAGTAGAAAAACAAGAATGAAAATTTTAATGTGGCTCAAACAGGGGCATGATATGGCTTTTAGCTATGTCCTATATGGGAATACTTTGTCTATTGAGCTATAAAGTATATAGCTGCGAAGCACGGATACTTGTAAACTCATTACGTATACATATCCAAGTTTGGATACTCTTCGATACGTAATGGATACATTTTTTTAAATTATTTTAATTTTTTAAATTTTCAATACGTGTTTGATACTTATTTTAATTATTTTCGATACGTATCCGATATGTTTTGATATGTATCTTTTAAATATTTTAATAACTTGTTGAATATTAATAATATTTATTGAAAATACACAATTAGTTTATCAAGAAAATTATAGTTCTATTTAAAAGGAGAATCTAAAATGTGGGAGATTGTCGGAGACTCATTTGATACTCTTGAAGGTGTTGAACTGCTTGAGGTTGCTTTCTATCATTAGATAAGCTAGAGTTAAAGATTGTTATTTTTAATGATAATGAAGAAGTTGATGTTAACGATGTTAAAGAAAACGAAAATTGGACAATTAAGGATTAACATAAAATGTTTTAGTATTTATTTTATTTTTGTTATTATACTTCTTTTTTTTTATTTTTTTATATTAATGAAATTATATTGAATTTTATAATATGTTGTATCCGTGTATCTTAATTTTTTTTTATAAAAAGTCGTATCGGTGTACCCGCATCGTATAGTATTCGAATTACGTATCCATATTTGTGCTTTTTAGTCATATAGTTCCCAAATTTTAAATGCAGTTGTTTGAATTCTTTTAAAGCAGAACTTAATTTCAGAGTTTTTATACTAAATTCATTTTTATTGGAGATGGTTGTTTTCTCATGTATTCTGCAATGTACATTTACTTTCGAATTATGGAGGATGGTTTATGTGCGATTATTGTCACGCGTTTTCTATAACGTGAATTTATGCTGCAAGTGTACGATGTCAAGTTTTGTAATATAGTATGAAAGTTAGGATGTCGAACCCACAGGGATTGTAATTTAATTTCTACCAAGTACTATAATTATATAACTTCTATTTTATCTAGACAAAT